GCGCGATCGTGCCCGTCAAGGTGACGCTCGACTTGATCCGCAAGGCGATGCTTGCGAGCGGCCGCGACCTCTTCCTCATTGACGGCTTTCCGCGCAACTTTGACAACCTCACGGGCTGGAACGACGAGATGACGGACGTCGACGTCGCGGGCGTCCTCTTCTATGACTGCCCCGAAGACGAGATGGAGCGCCGTCTCCTCGAGCGCGGCAAGACGAGCGGCCGCACCGACGACAACATGGACGCGATCCGCAAGCGCTTTGCGACGTACACCGAGTCGACGATGCCGATCATCAACCACTTTGCGGCGCAGAACAAGGTGTTCCACATCCTCGCGACCTCGACGCCGGAAGCGGTCTTTGAAGAGACGAAGAAGGCGATCGAGCCGATTGTGTCGCAGCACCTCGTCGCCACGACGCAGGTATAAGCAGGCCAATATACACACACATCCGACCACCATCCTTGCTTGTCCTTACTTAGCGTCTTCTCAACGCTGTGTTTCAAAACGACTTTGCGACTTACCGAGTACCTACTGCATCCACTCAACCTCAAACGTTGCTAGCTCATGGCGCAACTGCCCGACTTGTAGGCGCTCTGCGACGACAACATCTCGGCCATCGAGCCGCAGTCCATGGGCCACGTCGTCGAGGTATTACATGGACTTGGCCGACTCTCTTCCAGTAGCAGATTCACTCAATCGATCATGACGGCAGGGCATGCAATTCCACGAATTCTACTTCAAGAACCAAGGCCGCGGAGGCCTCGGCGTTGCGAGCGTCTGCCAGGTACGACTATTTTAGTTCATTAGTCGATGCCTTTCATGCAAATCGACTAACTTGGACCGACTAGGCAAACGTTGTCGACGCGCATGTCAAGCTCCTTGGCGACACGGCGATCGTGTCGTTCGCTAATGTCATCCAGGTAATACCCCTAACCTCGCAGCGTCGTCTTTTCGTGGATGATGGACAACTTGTCTTTACTTAGTCGGCGTCCGAGCCGTCGGTGGTGTATATGGAGACGCGCGTGTGGCATCGCAGCGCGACCACGGGTGCGTGGAAGAACGTCCACTTCCACCGGTCCTCCAAGTAAGACACAGAGCAATGCACATCTCGTGGTTCTCGTGGACCGAGTAAAGTACAAAACGCTGGAGCACGAGACAATATTGTCTTGTAGGACAACATGTATATACACAGTGCAGCATCGCGTAGTTAATAAGTAGAGGGACACGACGAGAGAGGTAGCCCTACTTGGGAATGACGTGGCGCGTGTCCCGCTCGTTGTCCGAGAGCACCATGGCGGTCGTATGGCGCAGGTTGGCTTCGTCGACGTACTGGTTGAACGTCGTCGCGTTCTCGCTATTCAAAAGTATCAAGTTTTCACATTCCAAAATATCAAGTTGCAAATCATACCGGAAGACGCCGTTGTTGCGCGTCGATGACGCAACGCCTTGGTCGAGCACGTCGAGCCAAATGGGCTGCTGGCCCGCAAACGGGTTCGAGAGACCTTTCGAGATCGCAAACACTTGGCTCATCTTTTGCTGGAACCGGAGCTTGTACTGCTTGGGCGGCATGGCCGAAATCCCATCCGGGTCCTTGCGCTTGGCGTACCGCTTGTAGAAGCGCTCAAACTTCTTCTCAAAGGTCCATTGCTGCAAAAGTCAATGATGCCAAACTGGTACAAGGCCGGGCCGTTGACACTGGTCGCCATCTGGGTCGCAAACGCTGACGCCGACTGGATGCCGTTGCCGTGCGCGCCGCCAACGATGCCCGGCTCGACGTAGTATTCGCAGCTCTGGACGCCCATGAGGAGACTGTAGTCCATGATGCCTTGGTCGTAGAGAAAGTCCGAGTCGAAGCAGATCTGGTCGTAGAGCTGCTCGGCCGAGCGCGGATCGATCCGGACCTTGGTCATCAGGTCGTTGTCCTTCAAGACAATGTTGGGCTCGTGGTAGTTGAGGCCGTCGCCGCACTCTTGCGATTTCGTGCTCCCAAACGTGTAGCGCGCGTTGCAGTAGCGGCACGTGACCTTGCCGCCGACTTTGGGCATCGTCGCGTTGCGGTCTTCCCAGCTGCCCTTGATGTCATACCGGTGGTGGATCACTTGCGTGTTTGCAAAGAGGTTGCCCATCACGACAAAGTAGTACATCTTGCCGTACAAGAGCACGGCGTGGCAGCCGTAAAACTTGGTCAAGAGCGAGTGCGGGTGCGACATGAGGTACGTCGCGTACTTGGGCGCCATGCGACGCAGCAAGTCGCACTCTTCCCGAGACATGGTCTTGACGATAAAGCTTTCATCGGACGTGTAAAACATAAAGGCGCCGCTTCGACCTTCGCTAAACCGTTCCTAGTTTCATCAAAAAATGAAATTTGAATCCATTTTTTCCAGAAAAATGCAAGAAGGGAGAGGTGCCGTCCGACTCTTCGAACGAGAAGCTGGAAGCCGACCCCTCGATCCCTCGAGACGAGACGAGAGAAGGGAACATACCTTGGTCGTCGCCGAGAACAGGCTCGTGTACTCATGATCGCCGATGCCAAAGGTCTCGCGAATCGCACGGAACGTTGTCGGTGCGTACGACCAAAACTTGATGGCTTTGTTGTGCTAATCATGTCCATCATGAGGATGGGATGCATACAAAATATCGAGGATGTGGACGACCTTGTCGTCGGACGAGCCGTCGTTGAGGAGAAACATCTCGGACGTATTGGAGCCGTGCCCGACTTCATGGACCGACTGCTTGATGCCCGACGTGGTGTAGTAGAGGATCTCGGACCGCAAGGCGAGGTTGACTTGGGGACTCAAGTCGACGTCGACGTCGTGGTTGCGGCCCTTGCCACGGGTCTTTTGGACGTTGTTGACCGCAAACCAAATGATGTACTCGAGGTAGCCCTTGGACGCGATGAGAAACATGAAGAATTGCTTGAGGACCATGGGCGCCAAGTCGTCTTGATGCGTCGCCGAGTTGGTCACAAAGTACGTCGACATGTAGAGGAAGAGCAGGAAGAGCCAGTAAAACACCAGCGCGCCCGTAAACCTACACCGTTCCATAAGACAACTTGTCCATCCTGATTTTCAAAAAATACAGAGAAATGTAGTTGAGGACGCGGAGACGGAGGTTGTACGTCTTGGGCACGCCGCCCGAGTAGAGCCGGCGCCACGCAATCAAGAGCACGCTACATGGCGTCCTCAGAGATCACAAGAGACGACGACACGAACGTACACGAGCGACACGATCAGGACAAAGATCACAAAGCCATACAGCAAGATCCACGGCCTAACACACGAGAGAGAAATATAACGACTTGACAGATTGATACAAACAACGCACCAAGTCTGGATCCGAAAGAATTTGGCACCGACGTCCTCGTCCGTGCCGACCGTGGCCGACTTGTTTTTGACGGGCTCATCGAGGTTGCGCGACGACGCGAGGCAGAAACCAATGAGGTACTTGGCCGGCGCCGAGGTGTTGACGGCGCGACCGTCGACCTGGAAGAAGCCGCCGGCTTCGAGACCGTCGTACTTGGCCGCGAACGTCACCACGCCCATGACCAAACCTAGCATTCAAAAGCTTGGTCTTGCATCCTGCAGGTAGAGAGGAGCGTACTGGCCGTCCAGACAAAGGCATGGTAAAACTTCATCGAGCGCTTGTAGCTCTTGAACGGGTCGTTGAGCTATCAGAAAAATAAGAAAAGGCGCGTCTGAGATGCGAGA